ATCCAACGTTATCACGAGCACGTGATAAACCGACCATTAATTATCTCACGAACCAACGTCCTAAATGCATTAGACTAAGCTTGTATTAAATATATGCCAAGAAGAAACTAACAAATAAACATACGCCAGTTTTTTTTTTTTTCAATAAACAAATTAAAAGCACAACATAAGATTTCAACTTTCGAAACATCTCTGTGCGCCGTTGAACTGTGATATGAGGTTTTAATATGAATGCAACAATTCAATCGTAAAAACAATTTCGTTCTCCGCCTTCGTAACAGTTTCCCTTTTGGTAGGTGCACTGAATTGCAGACGACTTTATTAATATAATCAGTTTAATACAATGGAATAATTTAATACAAAATAACTGCAAAAGAAATTGTACGAACGAAGAAGTTCTCAAAGAAACATTTTCAAGCAGAGGTTTACAAAACGGAAGAGACAAAAAAAATATTATACTAGCCTTTTTTATGGAGCTCTGAGGCCGTTCCAGTTTCACCAAGACATGTGGGCCAGGACGGGCTCAGCTAGGAAGGGTGGGATTTGCTAACAGGTACCCGAGCTCCTCCAAAGAAGACCTAACAACTCAAGAACAGTTGCTCTGCGAATTAACATTATAACTAGCTTCCAACAATAAATGACAGTACCTAGTAAGCATTTACTAAGTTTGACGAATATAAATGAAAGTTGAAAATCACCTCCGATCATTATCGGTATAAAATTGTTAACGACAAAAGACAAAATATCAATAATATTGCATATATCATAATATGTTTTATGATAGTTGCAATAGCTTTATGACGTCGATGAACCGCCAAGAGGTTAAGTTGTTTGAATGTTTTCTAGTAAACAGCAGATCGTGTTCGTGATAGTTCGTAATCAGTGTGCTTCAGATCGTGTTCGTGATAGTTCGTAATCAGTGTGCTTAGTTTAACGTTCTCGATAACGTAAAAGTTAACTCAAAATGTATGGAGTTGGAACGTTTGCCTACACTGTTCCAACTGCATTCAAATTTAAATTAACTTTTACGCTATCGAAAATATTTAAAAACTCGCACTAAGCACACTGGTAAATTTAAATTAACACGGTGCATTTTACTAATAAAATCATTCTTCTACTCCTAATCGTAATGACGTGCTTATTTGGATAACCACTTTGGGGGAGGGGAGGTATATAATGTTTCTGTGGAGTTTGATTTAGTAATTATATGTAGTTTAGACAATGATCTGCTTATTAGTGTTAGTGAAATGTATTATTCGATATTTATAGGGGTATATGGGTACTTTAATGTCTTCTGACAAAACTAGAAATTTTGAAGATTGATTGGCAACAAGTAAGTACAAGTTAGATGTTATTTTCTGATCTTTTACTAAAGATTGTAATAGGTATTTGTCCTATTAAGTATCGATTAAATTTTTTTATTTAAAACAATTTGTAATTTTATTGTATTTAATTGCCGTTTAGATAGCTTAAACTACATATATGTAAAGAAGGTTGACGTCAAGCAGGCAACCGGTCGTAAAATGACAAATTCCTGTGCACCACGATAATAGGATATGTTGAGCCTACCGTACATAGCGTGGTATAAGGGCAAAAAGAAGAAGAAGCTATTGGAAATTGGAAATTATTTGTAATTTTATTGTATTTAATTGCCGTTTAGATAGTTTAAATTACTTATATAAAGAAGGTTGACGTCAAGCAGGCAGCCAGTCGTAAAATCCGGTCGTAAAATGACAAATTCCTGTGCACCATGATAATAGTATATGTTGAGCCTACCGTACATAACGTGGTATAAGGGCAAAAAGAAGAAGAAACTACTCGCATAATGAAAACTGTTTCCTTTACTTATCGTTGATATATTCTCCGATTTATATCAAGTATTGGACATTTTCATATTTATGATATCACATCGGATTTTTGCGACAACTGCTTTAAACATAACATTGACATTATACATTTCCAATTTATTTGAGGGGTCAATTTAGAAAATAATCCGAAATATTCACGTATTTATTTTTAGTACACTAAAGATCATCCAAATGAATGTACCGACGGAAAATATTGACAGACTTTATAATTTTCTGAATTTCTTGTTATCGCGATTCAGGTTTTTGCCAGATTACTTTTTAATTTCGTTACACTGACCGTATTCGACTGTCGTCGGACATTTACTTAGAATACTACGAATTCATTCGTGCAACTCAACCGAGGGGCAATTGACGTCATGGTGCTAACTTCTTGAACGAGATACAAGGCTTCGTTAATAATTCATTTCCATTATCGTCGTTTCAGAGAACCAGCCCGAAGGGTTATATCGGAATATCGCGTCTCGCTTTGTGGAATTGAATTTTAAGCTATTGCATTGCTTTTATCGCGGGCCTTGAGCGCGGCGACCGAATCATGAAATTCCGTAACGAAAAAAACCTAACACCCCTCACTCCGCCTACCATGTAGCTCGCGTTTAACACATTCACACGTTGCGATTGTGTAGTGTTTGTGAATAAGCGCGTGGCGTGACGTCACACTGCATGCGCATCATGAAAATTCTGCCCATCTCTCTCTCGCGCGGTCTAGCTTATGAGTGTGAAGGGGACAGTTAATGTTTTGCTTTTATTAATGTTTAATATAGCGTGGTCTTGTTTTATTATTGTTTTAATATTAAATTATCATTGTCTAATTATAATTGCATAAGTTGATAAAAAATGCTATGCAATAGCTTTACTGCGGCAGTTCCCGAGTGCCACACGTTTTTTTTTTTCAATTGAGCAAAAGCAACTATTGTAATTTAAAAACAACGAGTACAATATTCTGCTCGTATGAGAAGTACTGAATTGACGTTTAGAAGAACGTATAATACACGTGGACAGACTACAGTGTGCTTAGAGTGAGTTTTTTAACGTTCTCGATAGCGTAAAAGTTAACTCAAATATGTATGCAGTTGGAACGTTTGCCTACGTTTGCCGCTAGGGGCGCTGTTCCAACTGCATACAAATTTTGAGTAAACTTTTAAGCACGCAGATTAAAATTTACAGATTGCGATGCTCAAATGTGCTTTATTTTATTTTTGTTATCACATTGGTGGGTGAAGGATGCTGACGACGCACCTGGTGTTCACTGGTTACCAGAGATCCTTATATTTGGTATACCCAATCTAGGATTGTTTGCGACTTATATGAACTCTTGAGGTCGTTTATAAATAACATGTACGTATTGTGTACATTTCAACAAATAATTTTCAATGACATTTAATTTATTATTTAAGCATTCGAAAGATCGAAAATTCATTCAAATCAAGATGGGGCCGTGTTTTGTGAAGTATAAACTTGGGATGTACTGTCATAATCTAACACGGTCGTAACAACGACATCAACATATTTTACTTAAAGAACAATGGCGATTATACTCGCAATGATTGCGATGAAATTCATTTTCACTTCATCACTTCGTAAGTAACTTGAAGTTTTTACAATCTTTCAATTTTGTTGATTAGTGTTTTGCTGATTACATTGCTAAGGTTGATTATTAAATTCAATTATAAAGTTCCGACATACCATCCTATATATTTCGGCAGCGAAACAATCATATTGCTTGGAGAATGAAAACAGTTCTCAAAATGAATGGTTCTTTGTAATTGATAACTCATATAAATAAAATTTTATTAAATTATTAAAAAAAAGAACACAATATTCCTAACCTAAAAGTACATGTTATTATCCGCAATTTTGTAATTAGTCAATTCATCAATTAAAGTTGAATCCAATGTCAAAATTGTAAAAAATCAGTCGACTATTCCGTGCACCTGGTCAGTTTTCAAGACTCTGTTTAGAGCTGCCAAATATTTTAACAGGAAACATAACGGTTCAAGAACGCAGTAATGTGACCTAACACATAATAAATTTCTTAATTTTTTTCAAACCCTTTGCGGCAGAATTAGGTCGGACCTTGGTAGGTATCTAGAGGTCTCAAATTTTGGTCAGTATTAAGATAGGAAATAGGAGTTAGGCACAAAATTAGGCGCGGCAAATACGAGTGATGACTGTGAAGTTGCGAGTGGCATTAGCTAATGCGGAGGCATTAGCTAATGCGGAGGCTAGGGTTGTACAAATGCCAATGCGGAGGCTAGGGTTGTACTACCGTATCTGCCATGCTGTTCCTGACTGGATCATTATAGTCGTGTATTTTTATTGTGTCAGAGAATTGTTTTTGTAGCGAGTGCCAGTACACCAGGGTCAAAACCAATCTGCTCCCTATCTCTACGTCCAAAATATCCTATTAATTACAAGCGAAATGATCAAAAAGGTCAATTAAGAATATCATCTACTATTTCTACTTTTTAAAATTTTCTTTAGCTAATAGGCCTGCAATTCGGTCTATTTCAACTTAACAACGTTAAAATGTTTGCCTAACTGAATTATTTCAGATCCTTTCAAATACTATAAAAAAAAGTTTATTAGTAAGAGCTATTATTATTTATTATTGTTTATTAAGTATTTGTTTGTTTACTTTTATTTACTTCTGATTAAACAAACACGTGGAATTCTAACCTGTATTTTTTCATCAAAGAAATTAAGTATGAAAACAGATCTGTTTTAATTAAAATAAGATGCATGAAAAATCACCCAATATTAGGCGACTGAGTTTCATAACTGCGATTTTCTCACTACTTTCCCATATTTCAGTGCTAATAGCCCTTCAGATTTAAAGCGATTACATGTAGTCTTCTATTTAGTTGGATATAAACGCTATACAATTCGGTCGCGTATACATGAACCGTTTGTAGTGGCCTACGTGACTCAGAGTCCCCGTGCAATGGCGTCGCCGTGCCAAGCGAATAACCACCTTATCGACATCGGTCGCCGACTCTCTTCTATTAATTTACGAAACGTATTCATTTACACTTGACAACGTATCTGTCAGCGTTGTGTAGAAAAAGGAATTCGTTATATAACAGTAAAAAATAGCACGTGCCCTCGAGTCAGGGATCAGCTGATTTTACTCACCCCAGGAGAACGCGCGGGCCGCGTTCACCAGCAGCGCGCCCACGAAAAACCATTGAAACTTCAACATTTTATTAAACGAACGATGCGTTCTCAGCTTTGGATGCACGTTTATATTGAAAATTTTATGCACGAGTTTCAGGCCAATGTCGTGCAGGCAACGCGAGACGCGACCGCACCGCTTGCGTGTTAAACCGAAACTAAAGGCAAAAGCTGCCGGTTTGCCGCGTCAAACCGAAATCTAAATAGGTTCATTGAAAAATATTTCGCGCATGCCCGCCTGCGTTATCAGGTTTATCATCATGCGACGTAATTTTGGCATGTTCCGTAGTAAGTGCCCTTGAAACATACCTAGTTCAAAGTAATTGATTCCCAATAGTCGGTGTCAGCAGGTACATGAATTTTACTGCTAACTCAGCATTTCGATTATAAAACTTTCAAGTACGCTTTATTGCAAGGTTCGTTTGAAGGGCAAAAGATTTCAACGCAATACCCTTTAATGTATTAAACTAGAAATTTTAAGATCTTAGCTATATTATTGTCATAAATAAGCATTCAAATTATGCATCTTATTGAGGCATTAAGCTAAATCATTTTTTTAGTCAGATTAATTTGGACAGAACTTTACAATTTTTTTTAAGACAAAATAAAAAGTACATAATAATATTCTTTACGCACCCAATAGTTACGAAATTTGATGTATTAATTTTACTAATAAAGGTATCGCAAAAATTGGCCTATCTTTGGCTCAATAGATAAAATAATATGTATTCATCTTTATTTGTTGAGTTTTGCTGTATAAGGGGATAAGTGTGATACCAACGTGTTTTCTCCTACTATTAGTTAACTTGATAACAAGCAGAATGTATTTTTTACAGGTAGGTACCATTAGCTGCTCGATAATGTAGGCAACAACATTTCTTTTGATAAGAAGAGTCAATAAAGGAAGATAGCTTAACTCGCGTCTTACATTGTAGGTATACGTATCAACGTTATGAAATGTTTATAATAGTAAATAATGGTGTTTCGCCCCCGAACAGATCTGCTTTCCTCTGAAGGTAAGCGGATCAATGATCTCGTCCGATCTTCTCAGTCGGTCGCGATTCCGATCCGGTGGTAGATTCTGTGGAGCACTGCTCTTGCTAGGGATAGTGTCAGCAAATTCTCTCAGGTTGAGCACGTGAGCTCAACTACCCATCCGGACGTCGTTGGAATAGCCCCCTAGGCTACCAGCAAATTGGTAGGGAAAAACAATCCGCTTTGTAGAGTTGGGACAGCCATTGAACTTATAGCTTACGACGAAGGGCTCGGCGAGTAAATTAACCCACCGACTCAGCCCACTGAGTTTCTCGCCGTATCTTCTCAGTGAGTCGCGTTTCCGATCCGGTGGTAGATTCTGCGAAGCACGGATCTTGCTAGGGTAGCAACATCGTCAGGTTTGAGCCCCGTGAGTTCACCTACTAATTCGGCGAATCTAGAATAACCTCTCGAGGTTACTAGAATAGGTAGGAAAATAAATAAATAATACAAAAGCTGCTCCGACCTCATGTCTCAAAGTGGGTGGTTGCAGTTAGGTTGTGATGTCTATGGCCTACTGCTACCACTTTACACTCATAATAAAACACTCATTTGAAACGGGTTGGCCAAATCAGGGTTCTAAAATCAAGAACTTCATTTTAATTAAGTAGTTTACACTTTTCGTTGTCACAGAAAACTATAAAGTAATCGAAACGTTGCAAAGGGATTTCTTTATTATTATTGAAAAAGTATGTTTTTAAATTGTTTACAATTACGTTCAGAACGCATGACAATCTTAGAAACACACGGTGGTAGGAGTTTTTTTTTTTTCTAAATTAATAAATAAATATTTACTAACAATCACGCCACGTTAACTGGTCCCGTGATAAGTTCGTAAAGAACTTGTGTTAAAGGTACCAGATAACGGAAATAAATGTAAGGTTTTTATTATACACATACATCTATTTAATATATGGACATCCATGACCCTGGAAAAGACATTTTATATTTATCATACAAATATCTTCCCTTGGCGGGATTCGAACTCGCGACCACCTTGTGTAGTGACCATGTCACTTACCACTACACCAGACGGACGGGCGGAGATAAAGCTGTCAATTATATTGTTGACTAGCGACCCGCCCTCGCTTCGCTTTGGAAACTGTAATTTATTATAGACTTGTCCACTATTTAATGGATGTTATTATACATATAAACCTTCCTCTTCATTCACTCTATCTATTAAAAAAAACCGCATCAAAATCCGTTGCGCAGTTTTAAAGATTTAAGCATACATAGGGACAGGACAGATATAGGTACAGAGAAAGCGACTTTGTTTTATACTATGTAGTGATAAGCTGCTCTCTTTAAATTAAGTCAAAGTTCAACTGTAATTGTGCAGTTTATTAGTGAATTCGCTCTTATGGAAGATTCAGCAAAAATTGCTCCTGCTAGAACAAAAAGTCTCTAAGGCTGAGCACCGTGAGCTAATCTACTTGTCCTGAGAAGCCGGAATAGCCCCTCGAAGCTACCGTCGATTAGGTAAAGAAAAACTTTTCTTCGGCATAACTATAGGCACGCGATTGGCACTGAAACCTGAAACAGAAAGAATAAGTGAAAATCGAAACGATCTTAAACTGCTGAACAACTAGGTCAATAACATTACGAACAATATTCGCGAAGTCTAATTAAATATGTACTCCAATGTATTTCAAAACGGATATTTCAATTAAATGTAATAAGAGGAAGTGAATAAAACAAGTTAGGGTTTGAACAATTGGACAGGTTTTAGTTTATAAAAAGATTTAATCTCTGATTTAACCTTGTAGGTTAATTAGCGATGTGTGAACTTTTTTTTTTTTAAATTATTAATTAAAATTTAATATTAGCGGGACAGTTCCATTGTCCGATGAATTTTTTTTATCAATTAAATGTGTAAAAGTTCCATTATTGGCTTTATATAGGTATATCCATATTAGATATTGATACAAAATATACCATCGCTTTGGAAGTACATAGGTCAAGGAAGAAAGTAATAGGAATTATCGTTGTGACCGTTGAAACTGAATCGCTCAGAATTTATTTTTCAAAATTGCCGCTTATGTTGTGTTCAACCATTCATTACGAGTGACGTCATTTGGGTCCATGATTACCGACGAGGTAACTACAGAGTATAATATGTACATACACTAAAACGGAACGATTAGTGACGTCGCATAGACACAGCCCACGGAATTTCTCACCGAATCTTCTCAGTGGGTCGCGTTTCCGATCCGGTGGTAGATTCTGCGAAGCACTGCTCTTGCTAGGGCTAGTGTTTGCAACTTTTCTCAGGTTGAGCCCGTGAGCTCACCTGCCCGTGCGGGCGTAGCTAAAAGCGAATATGTAGGAAAAAAATTAAGTGATAATATATCACATCACGCATTGTTATGTTAGATTACAATCATAAGGATGAACATCCCTTATGACCACTTTTTGATTTTGTTCTTGATGTTGTGTTGATGCATTATGGCTGACAGCGGTTTTTTTTTTTTTATTGCTTAGATGTGTGGACGAGCTCACAGCCCACCTGGTGCTAAGTGGTTACTAAAGCCCATAGACAACTATGACGTAAATGTGCCACCCACCTTGAGATATAAGTTCTAAGCTCTCAGTATAGTTACAACGGCTATCCCACCCTTCAAACCGAACGCATTACTGCTTTACGGTAGAATTAGGCAGAATAGCGTCAGAAGCATTCTCTATGTGCTTCGTTAAGAGATGGTAAACGACATAACCATCTAGCTTATATCGTATGAACAAATATAAAACATATGCAAATGCTGAAAAGATAGAGATTCCTTTAATTTAAAAAGAAAGTCATCGACAAACGGAAGTAGATTTAACGTGTGTATTTACAACATTTTCGTGGCTTATACATATTTTCAAATTATTATTATACAGCGCATTCAGGAGCTATTAAACTGTCCTTAATATCTTCGGCGTGCCGTTTTTGACTAATATCAGTTATTTCATTAATCATCGCTTAAAAATTTTAATGTTTAACGTTGTCATGACCATTATGAAATGAATACATAATACTTACTTAATATAAGTTAATGATTATACCGAACTTCGTGTAAATGTGGTTTTGATTATTTTAACACTTTCAACATTGGGTTTCTATTGAAATGTTTCAGACATTACTTTGATGGAATGAAGTTGCTGAGGACGAACTAGTTTCTTAACTTAACTTTCTTTTATTACACCAAAGGCGATGCTCATAGGAATCTGAAGAAATATAGGCCGTTTTCCAATTACAGCACAAGAGCGCATTATGCGGCATAATGCTCAACTAAGCTTCAGCATAATTCGGCATTGTGCGTCACTGAGTCGCATTATGCTCTGTAATTAACTACAGATTAATTTCTACAGATAATTAACTACAGATTAATATCTACAGATAATTACAGAGCATAATGCGACTCAGTGACGCACAATGCCGAATTATGCTGAAGCTTAGTTGAGCATTNCATAGACATCTACAGCGTAAATGCGCCACACACCTTGAGATATAAGTTCTAAGATCTCAGTATAGTTACAACGGCTGCCCCACCCTTCAAACCGAAACGCATTATTGCTTCACGGCAGAAATAGGCGGGGCGGTGGTACCTACCCGTGCGGACTCACAAGAGGTCCTACCACCTGTAAACACTGTTACGTTTCACATCACTGTTACGTTTTACACCAAAAAAAAAAACATTTTCAACGTTAAGCACGATTACAATTGCTCTGTCACGAAGACACGGACTATATTATGTATTATATGAATTAACATTGTGAATGACTTAGTATTTGTATGAGTGTTAGCAAAGAAGTATTAGCTACGGAACCTTAAGGGCAAGTTCATTGTGGACGTCGTAAATACATAGCAATTAGAAAAATATTTTTAAAGACTCCACTCAAAATTTAAGAATAGAATCCTTTAAACACGTACAAAATAATCTTGATTAGTGTCTTTAAAGATCTGTAATGAAAAAAAAGGTTTTTTTTCTACTTTTAAATCAGTTAGATAATTAGTGCTATATAGAAATGTTTATCGGGCTAAGTAGTAAACGAAATAAGCAAAGATCGGTCATTCTAAAACTCCAAATACACAGGTGTACTCTTTTTTAGGCGGGAAGCTC